TTCTGCAACTGCAGAATGGGAGAAAAGACCTGATCGAATGCATCTTTGATGCTCTTGAATCCGAGTTTTGACGGAACGACCAGTTTCGCCAATATACACATGTCCACATGAACAAGGAATAGAATAGACACCACAGGAAGATAGGGGCGGTAATGGGTCCTTAGGAGAGGGTAGATATTGTGAGATTTTCTTGGGTGGTCGAAAAGTAGTCCTGATACCTTCTTTGCGAAGAATTTTGCCAATCCTATCAGTGACACTTCGAATATACGGAAGAAAAGCCACAGGAGTATTACCCGAAGATTCTGAATTTGTCGTCCTAGGGTGTAAAGGGGGATGTAGATGTCGGTGTGTAATATTTTGAATTGTGGACTTGGAGTAACCGTTGGCGACAAGGGTTTTTTGCAGATGGCCAAGTTCTTCTCTAAGGTTGTCAGGTTCAGAAATCGAAATGGCCCGATGGATGAGAGAGTTGATCACAGAATTCTTTTGGGCAGGATGGTGGTGTGATGAAGCATGTAGGTAACGATTCGTGTGAGTCTTTTTTCTATAAACAGAGTGACCCAATCGGCCATTGGGCTTGGAGGTGACTAACACATCGAGAAAGGGAAGGGACCGATTATTTTCTACTTCCATTGTGAATTTTATACTCGGATGTTGTGAGTTAAGATGATCTAGGAACGGAGAAAGGGTATGTTGACCATGGGGCCAGATGATAAATGTATCATCAACGTAGCGGAACCAGACTTTTGGTTTTAAGGGTAAGATTCTAGGGCTAAAGACTCAAAGGCTTCCATGAAAATGTCAGCAATGACAGGGGAAAGGGGAGAACCCATTGGTGTTCCAGATATTTGTTTGTAGAAATTGCCTCTAAAAGAAAAATATGTTGAAAGGAGGCATTTTTCCGCAAGATCTGCGAAAACCAAAGACTTGTTATCATTGGTCAAGTGATCTCGCAGAACAACTAGAGAGTCATGTATGGGGATATTGGTAAATAGGGATGATACATCGAAACTGACGAGAATGTCTTGGGGATCGACCGTGAGGGAGGAGATTAAGGTGATGAAATGTGTGGAATTTCGGACATAAGAAGAGGTACGACCAGTATAGGTCTTAAACTGATTCGACAAGTACTTTGCGAGTTTGTAGGTAGGAGAGTTAATCGTAGTCACAATGGAACGAAGAGGTACGTTATCTTTATGGATTTTGGGAAGACCGTAAATTCTGGGACAGATGGAGTTTTTCGGAACTATGGACTTCTTAACATCATCGGAAAGATCGGATTGTTTGATGGCATGGGAAATTTCGCGTTCGACTCTAGGAGTGGGGTCTCGAGAAATTATATTATAACAGGATGTATCCCTAAGTAAGTCGTTTACTTTCTCTATGTAGGAAGGAGTAACCAGGATGACTGTGGCATTACCTTTGTCTGCAGAAAGGATTATTATCTCAGAAAGAGAACGGAGATTTTTTAGAGTTATGAATTCCTCACGAGATATATTGGAAGTAGGGATTTTGGCTGTATCAAGACATTTAGCGACGTCAAAGCGGATACGGTTGGCTAGAATTTTGGGAATTGTGCGGAGTGCCGCTTCCACATTTAAAACTATTTCTTCGGTAGGAATTCTGGAAGGAGTGATAGCAAAATTAGGACCTGTAGATAGAAGACTGCTTTCTGCACTTGTTAATTGGTGAGAAGAAAGATTAACGACGGTGTTAGTAAGCGGTGAATGAGAAGTAGAAGTGGTGGAATGTAATTTTTTCTTAGATACAAGGGATTCGAATTTCTTTTTGTGAGTTTCGTTGCTTAGAAGAAGGATTTTATCGGCTTGATGATAGGAAATGCGGTCTAAAAGTGACCACTTTTAGTAGCAACTACTACTAGAAACTAGTTAGCAACTACCGTTGCTAACTACCCATCTTCCTGTCTTTTGATTTCTTTTTCTTTGTTCTCCTGAAGAAGCTACATACAATTGTAGCGAAACGTCGAGATGAACCCACTTTTGGGTCACTCACAAATGACACGGTCCAAACCCGGAAGACGAATAAACTTAATTCTGACTCTGGCCGTGGAAGCCTACGATTTCATTTAACTATTATCACCTTTAAAAAGAACAGAAACAATTCCATAAGAAACAACCACTAACTACATTTTATTTTTTTTACTTTGATATGAAGCCACTCATTTGATAAAAGTAATAATTAAGAAATATATTTTACAAAGGTTTAATGATTGAGTCGAAACTCTGAAACGATTAAATCATAACTGAAAATGATATAATAAAATTGTAAGAGAAAAGCCAAGTAGAAACCACATATTTATTCTCTAATAAATATAAACGAAGATCTCACAAGTAAAGAGTTTGGAAACTAAATCAAATTTCAAAATTGAAGAATGTATTAATTAACCAAACAAAAAGACAACGAAGTTCAATTTTTAGTGACATTATAAAAATATAATACAGCATATGAGTATATATTTTGAATTTTTTGTTCGTGTGGGCATTGATGTGTAAGTGCAGCAAAGTTTCCATTACTCTTCTTAATAACGTGGTGGAATTAATTAGGTTTCCGTTTATCTTCTAATTACTTTTCTTACCGTCGTCATAACGGAATCCCAAATTGGGTCTTTGATAATCACGTAAAAGCAGCGTTACGCTATTTTCCGCCACATATTTCTATCTGGTTGACAAAACTTTACGCCATCTTGTCACCCACTTCGTGTAAAAGATAAACGAGTAAGTAGTTGTTGTTTTTGCGTTTTTCAGTTCGGAGCTCTCGATCAAAACATGCAGATGGAGGTTTTTAAGAGTTTCAAAAAAGTAATAAACTGAATATTAGGTAAGCTAAAAATTATATTGTTAAATTTTACTACAAAACCTAATAATAAATAAAATAATAAAAAAAAATTACACTCACCAAATAAAATTAGTTTGGTTAACACATTTATACTGCTAAACATATTTCAAAATACTATTATAAAAATTAGATTATCTAATAAATGTTTCTCTTAAATTTTGTAATATAATTTTGAAAAACTTTTTTAACACAAAAACAATTAAATTTATAAATAAGTTAGAATAACGCCCGATTACAAATAAATGCCAATATCACTTCTGCTAATACAAACCATTTCTTAAAAAGTCCTTTTGAATTTATAACTTTCATTACACAAAATTGTAATGTTATCAAAATCCATAATATGGTCTTTGTCGATTACATGCTCTGCTAAAGCACAAGATGGTTTTTTAATTCTACAATCACTTTTGTGGGAAATAATACGATTTGACAGATTTCTTCCGGTCTCACCAACATACACAGCTTCACACTGAGTACAACCAATGCTGTATACTACATTTGTTTGATCTAATTTGTCTATAGGATACTTAGTTTTGGAATACAAAGATGAAATAATTTTGATGTTCTTTGTTGTCATTTTTATATTGTCAATAACCTTTAGTGTTTGTATTAGAATAAGTGAAAATCAATCTTATATTAAAAATAGAGAATTTGATAGATCTCAAATATGTAAACACGCATGGGATAATCAACATAGGGTTCAATGGAATGATTCAAATATAGTCCTAAAAGAAACGGATGGTAAAAAGAGAAAAATCAAAGAAGCGGCTCTAATTATGCTAATTTAGACCAATTGTGTCACAAATTCCTTGACAGAATGTAGTAGGATCTGATTACCGATAGTAAAAGAGAAAGTTATTAAAAGGAAAATGCCAGTCCTAGTAAGTCAGTAAAATATCGAGGATACATCATTTATGTTTTTTAAATAACAAACATATAAAATCAGAATTTGGTGTTTATTGAAAGTAAACTAAATGTACGACCAAATACTTACCATGTCGGGATAGTATTATGAGGTTTTTTCCTGGATTTTCCCTTAAAATTTACTATGGGATCACTAACAGGAGAATCTTATTGTCATCATGGCATATAATTGTCTTTTTAAAGACAGATAAAATAAAATTATTAGAAGAATTTTTCACCAAGTAACAAAAAAACAAAATTTGTTTAATTTACTAAGGTTTGTATTTTGAGAACGATTTCCGAAGTGGAAATTAACACGTCAATAAACTTATTTTAACCTTGAATTGTGGCTTATTCCCATTTAAATAATAATTACTTTAAAATGCCATAAGAAAATAGCTTCAGAACAATATTAAATAATAATTCCGACAAACAAAGCAGAATATACAACAAAGATGAAGAAATAAAAAACTTATTTAGCAGTATATAGTTCATGGTCTGTTTTAAAACCATGTGAAAAATTATCAAAAAAGAGGGGTTGTCTCGCTGTTTAAAATAACGAAGAATTATATAAAATATTGTTATTTATTGACATGCAGTTTAGTTTATGTCCTAAAAATATGGGAGAAAACACCAAAATATGGGTTTTATCGAATTTTGAAGATGTTCAGGAAAGAAAATGGCAAATCTAATCCCTCAATTTAAAAGAACAGAAAAAAATGTAAGAAAAATAATTATTTAGAAGTTTGCCAAACATTACCTACATAACCTAAAAGTTTATTGTAAAGTTTAATTATTTTTCCTTACCTCAATTATTTTGATTCAAAAAATCTGAAAAAAAAGAGTGTTTTGGAGCAATAAAATGTATGGTCATCAATTTTTTAAAGCAAAGCATCGCACAGGAATTTTTTTTTTCGAAACAACGCATTTTTTAATTAAGGGACCCTAGAGCTATCTAAGGAGCCAAAAATTTGGGATTTTAAAATATGCACCAATGCCAAATAAGAATCCAGCCGAGCACAGATTTTACCATCTGATCCTGTTATACCCTTTCAACGTCAATAGACTTGTCTTAAACTTAAATTAAGGCTTATTCTAATTAAAACAGTAATTACTATAAGATGCCACAAGAAAATAGCTTAGGAACGATATTAAGAAACCTTTATTTAGATTTTAATACCGTTTATTTTTTTAACATAATTTTTAGTACTTACAAAAGCTAAATAAATTCAATTACAACGATGTTGGCCATTGCGTTTGTATCATTGGGAAGTTTAATAATCTGCTGCAAGTCTGAAGTGGTAATAAATGCCATTGCATTGGACGATATTTTATCAGAAGATTACATGCCAACTACTCTATTGATGTTAGAAAATCCAAAGATTATTAGCAAATATGAAAATAGTACAGCTAGTGGTAATATTAATAAAAACATACTTGGATTGGATGGATCTTTGGGAAAAGCTATGGAAACGATGGATTTTCACAGGTATGTATGGTTCCTGCTTTTAATGGTACCCAACCTTTGAGGTGACTATTTAGTATATGATAATATATTTCCTAGTATTTTTAAGCTGTTTTGTGTTTAAATGTTCATTTAATGTACTGCAGATTGTTCTACTTTGCGTGCCATATCAGAATTATCCAACGTTCTCGATCACCATTGCAAAGGCTTCTCGATCTTCTACAATATGGAATAATTGTCCTGAATTTGATATCTGAAGTCCATTGACGAATGTCTTTTAACCAAGAAACTTGTTTTCTTTCTAGACCTCTACGGCCCTGTATTTTGCCTTTAAGGATAAGTTGTAATATTTTATATCGACTTCCTCTTACAGTATGTCTTAGATAAGACATTTTTCGATGTTTAACAGTCTTTAGCAGTTTTCCCATTTCCTCATCTCGTGAATACGATTAAGCAGAATTTGGAGACCTTCAATATTATTTGACATCATTACTGTATCGTCTGCATATTTAATTACATTAAGTAGTTCCCTGTTGGTTTTTATTTTATATAGTTGTCTATGAAGTGCCTTTTTAAATAACTGGTCCGAGTAATCATTGAACAATGTTGGCAACAAAATGTAACCTTGTCTGACTCCTCGTAGTATGGAGATTTCATCGGTGTAGTTATCTCCAGTTTTTACGATAACAGTTTAATTCCAGTACAAATTTTTTTTGACAAGAATATATTTGTCATCTTTTTCGATATTTTTCAGTATTTGCATTAATTTAATATGCTGTACTATATGGAATGTCTTTTCGAAGTCCACGCAACATGCAAATACATCTTTTCTTTAGTCACGACATTTTTGTAATAGGATGTTAAGCGCAAAAAGTCGCCTTCCTGGTTCCTATAGCATTTCTAAAACTAAATTGGGTATCTTTCAGATCTTTTTTGCATTTGCGTCTAATTCTGTTGAAAAGTATTCTTTAGAATTATGCTAATTAATAGATATTCTGAGCATTTTCTCGCATTATGTTTTTTAGGTATTGCGACAAAGATGGATTTGAGCAATCTGTGGAATCACTCCGGTGTTATATATTAAATAAAAAAGGCTTATTACTACTTTTATGCTTTCATCATTTATTAGTTTCAGCCACTTAGTTGGTGTATCATCTGGACCACAAGCTTTTCTAGTTTCCCCAAGTGGAAGCGTGGACTTTAACTGAGGCTATGCTTAAAAGCTTGACAGTCTTTGCGATGTGGGTATACAGACGACTACTGAAAATAAGCTGGGTCGACAGAGTTAGAAATGAGGAGGTCCTTAGACGGCTGAGCCAAACAACACAACTGGTCAATATAATAAAGAAACGCAAGCTGAAAATAGCATTTTTAAAACAAAATTGGGTATCTTCGAGATCTTCTTCTTTTAATTTCAGTAGTGAAGTTTGACAAGGATGTATTTTGCCTCCAACTGTCCTTGAACTTTTATTAAGAATATAGAGAAAACCAGCAACAAATGGAATAACCGTATCGCTATCAAAGAAAAAAAGATCTCAAACTTTAGATATACAGACGATACAACTCCATCCGAAAAAGAAATGGCAAACCTGCTACAGCTAGTAGAAATCTAAATAATAGATATGGTCTCACTACAAAAAACTGAAGTTTTGGACCAAGTTTAAATGATTAACGAGTACAATTAACTAGGATCCTAAATTAGTAAATCAGGCTCTTGTAAAACCGAAATACGTAGGAGAATAGAAATGGTCCAAAATGCTTATCAAGAGTCGATTATCAAAACTATGAAAAAACTGCTTTTAGTCAAAAAACACCAAAATAAAATTGATACGAGACTTAAGTTTTACTATATTTAGTTACGTGATCGAAACAAGGATAATAAAATTGGACGACAGTAAATGAATTGACTTGGATAGGAATTGGAATTTAAATTAAATTGGAAAAATTCTAGCATAACAATACACACAAAACTAAGGCTGGTCAAAGCTCATTTTTCCCATAGCCACATATGCATCCGAAACGTGGACCTTAAAGAAAGCGGATAAAAATAAACTTTACGCTTTTAAAATGTTAGTATACAGCCGGATGTTAAGAATATCCTGGATTTATCATCGCACTTCTTCTTCAAGTTCCACTCCTATCGGAGATTGGAAATCATTCTGGCAATTATAATTTTATTGGTTACTCGCCTGAATAGTTCAATTAAACTGCATCCAAACCATTCAGGAGATTGCGTAGCCACGAGATTTTACGTCTTCCTACGCTTCTTCTACCTTTGATTTTACCCTGCATTATATTCCTTAGTAGTTCGTACTTTTCACCTCTCATGATGTGCCCCAAGTATTCCAATTTCCTGATGTTTATGGAATTTAAAACTTCGCATTGTTTTCCTAGTTGTTCGAGAACTTGTTCGTTTGTTTTGCGATCCATCCATGATATTTTCAAAATGCTCGGTAACACCACATTTCGAATGCTTCTAGGTTTTTAATGTTGGATTTTTTAAGTGTCCAAGCTTCAACTCCATACAAAAGGGTAGAGAAAATATAACATCGAAGCATTCTTATCCGGAGCGATATATTGATATCGCGATTACAAAAAAGTTTTCTCATTCTATTAAAAGTTGACCGCGCAATTTCAATGCGGCATCTTATTTCTTTTGTCTGATCAGTATCTTCTGTGATCCATGCTCCAAGGTATTTGTACGAAGATATTTGTTCAATTTCTGTATTATCTAGTACTAGCTTAACTTTGATGTTTTGTGCTTTTGTAAATACCATGAACTTGATTTTCTTCAAATTGATTTTTAGTCCATAATCGTTGCAATATATATTTAGTTGTTCAGCAAGGTGTTGCAGTTCTTATAGTGTTCCTGCCAGAAGGACGGTGTCGTCAGCATATCTTATGTTATTAAGTGGCTCACCGTTTATTACAAGGCCCTCACTGATCTCGACAAGCGCTAATTCTGAGATGGCTTCACTGTATAAATTGAATAACAAGGGTGATAAAATACACCCTTGGCGGACCCCACGGCGAATCTGGATATCCTTGGTCAGTTCGTTTTCGACTTTCACTTTTGCTGTTTGATTCCAATAGAGGTTACAGATGATTCTAATGTCTCTACTGTCTATGTTTTTATTTAATAAAATTTCTTTGAGTCGATTATGCTGCACTCTGTCAAATGCCTTCTCAAAATCAATGAAACAGGCATATACTTCCTGATTAATATCTAAGCATCTCTGCGAAAGAACACTTAATGCAAACAGTGCATCTCGTGTTCCCAGTCCTTTCCTAAATCCCATTTGTGTATTACTTATGCCTTCATCTAATTTCTTATGAATTCTATTGTGAATTACTTTTAAAAACAATTTCAAGACATGACTCATTAAGGCTATGGTGCGATGTTCATTGCACTCCTTTGGTATCTCTATTCTTTAGGTATTATACCTGTTCTATATATGGTATTGAACAGATCCAAAAGAAGATCAATAGATTCAGTATTCAAAATTTTAAGTAATTCGATAGGAACTTCATCAGGCCCGGGAGATTTACCACCTTTAGCTCGTTTCATTGCATTTTCAATTTCTTCTCGTATAATGTCAGTCCCAGTATCATCCTTAAATTCTTTTGGTGCTTCTGTTCTCTCTTTGTCTTCAAAAAGTTCTGCTATATATTCATCGCACTAACTTATCGATATTAGAACAACTTCAAGTAAAGGATAGATTGCTAAAACAAATACAACAGAGATATTTGCAGTATTTTGTACACATTGCTAGAAGAACACGTACGATGAAAAAACTGATAGTCGAGGGTAGAGTTAAAGAAAATAGACCTAGGGAAAATCCCCAAGTAGTTGGTAGATCAAACAAAAATATTGATTAACCAAGGGTTACATGAAGCCGAACAACTAGCCCAGAACAGGAAAGGATGAGGAAAATCGTAAAAAACTGTAAAGGCTAGATGGTGTCACCAGATCGTAAAAGGGGTTAAGATTGAGAAGAAGGAGGAAAAGAATTGACGCCGTCAAGATGTAGTGCCACAGAAGAATCTCATGGACAGAGTGTATAATAAATTACTCAATCTTATAAGAGTTTATTATTCAGACTAGACTCTTATTTAGAATTTATGAGACTAGCTTAGGATATAGTCAATAGAAGGAGATAGTCACTCTAGAATTATTAGGTAGGAATCACGACACTCAAATAAGAGAGACTATTATGTTGTTCTCTATTTATATATTGAGATTTTATTGCATGCAAATTTATATTTTCAAATATTTTAGGTCCATGATGAATCAGTATATGTGCCGAAGTTTTATAGCCGAACAAATAGTAGCGAACATGTCAACATCAAGGGTAAAACGACGCATGGGACATGTTACATCTGGTATTGGTGAATCGTCTAGCCCTCAAACTGATATTTCGAAGAACTTAATATACGACGAGGGATCATCTGGTTACCAAGACTGGTTATCAAAGTAAGATTAATACCATTAATTATGCTTATGGTTTATTATTAAACATAGCATTTGAGTTATTTTTTGAAATTTTGAGTAATTTTTTTGAAATAGAATATTTTTGAAATTTGCATAATTAATGATTTCTTTTGGCTTATTTCTATTTCTAAGGAGTGCAACTCTTGAAGACATTTACCGTCACTATGATAATCCTCAGGATAGAATAGATGTAGTTGAAGATGTTGATGATGGAAATCCCGAAGATTTTGAGGAAGGATACAACGTAGAGGACATTAACAAGCAGGAAACAAAGGCAGCTTTAAACCATCGACACGAAGAAACATATTATTCTGCAGGTAAATTACCTTTATCCTAATCCTATACAGCAACAATCTGCATTTTATAATTTAGCTATCTTAGACTACTCAGTTTTATTAATATATTATATAATATTTATGTACATTATGTAATTCGAAGTTAAGAGAATTTTTTCAGTTTTTTCCTTATGTTATTACCTCCTTATTCATTTCGATTTCAGTAGTGGTGTAAGCCTAGGATGGCTAATATATTTCTCTTTATTTCAGAAGAATTATCGGTATATAAGTTGTACAGTAAGCTTCTTTTTCTACTTTTTATGTAGACATGTCTTTTTTTCAATGTGCCTCCAGTAAGTTGTCGTTCCATCGTTTTTGTGGTCTTCCTACTAGTCGTCTTCCTATTGGAGAACCGTCTCTTGTTATCTTTTCTACTCTATTTGTTGTCATTTAGCTTACATGATCTTACTATTTTTTACAAAAACTTTCTTTTATTAAGTTTGTTTGAGCACCACTATCTAAAATTGCTCTACATGAAATTAATTCATGATTTCATGTAGTCATCATCGTTTGGAGTACCAGAAATTAAATTCACTACGAATATTGGCCATGATGAACGGCATTTGGAGTGCAATTTTAGATTTCCTTGCCGATTTATTCATCAAGCTGTTTGCTTCGCAAGTTTTAGGAAGCACGGTGGCTTATATTTGAATTGTAATTTGAATTATTTCATGTAGTCATCATCGTTTGGAGTACCAGAAATCACATTCACTACGAATATTGGCCATGATGAACGGCATTTGGAGTGCAATTTTAGATTTCCTTGCCGACTTATTCATCAAGCTGTTTGCTTCGCAAGTTTTAGGAAGCACGGTGGCTTATATTTGAATTCAATTTCGCCAGGTACAAAGTGTATAATTTTTCTTTTTGTTCTTAGATAGCGTAGTTACGTCTGTACATAGTTTTTTTTAATAACTATGGTCTACTACGGGAAAATATTTTGGCTCAATACGGAGTAGTTGCTATACCGTACTGAGGAGACCTAAAGAGATCGAAATACGTATTTGCGGCTTGTAGCTGCTCTGTATCGAATCAAAATCTAATACCGTCATTGTGTTTTATTTCTTTACTTCGTTTGGAGTACCAGAAATCGAATTCACTACGAATATTGGCCATGATGAACGGCATTTGGAGTGCAATTTTAGATTCCCTTGCCGATTTATTCATCAAGCTGTTTGCTTCGCAAGTTTTAGGAAGCACGGTGGTTTATATTTGAATTCGATTTCGCCAGGTAGAAATCGTATGATTTCTCTTTTTAATTCATTATTATTAGATTTAATATTAAAAACCACCGTTGACAAAAGAACTCGGGTATGTTAAATATTCATTGTTTGTGCAGAAAACTGATGGGTTACCGTTGGTGGCAACTCAACACTGTGTACACAATTAATTGACGATGAATCTAATGATGGAGAATTTAAAGCAGTGTCAGTTGAATGTTGCTGACTATTTTCAAAATGTATTAATGAGTTATGTTTGGAGTTGCATTTTATACATGGTCTTAAAGTACATTCGGCTGCTTTGTGTCCATGTCTTAAACAATTAGGACACAACTTTCAATTATTGACTTAAGACAATCTATTTTTCGTATTTGATTGTAGGAATTCAATACATGAATATACTAAATGGTTAACTTTACACAAAACGCAAGACTTTCTTTCTGCTACATTAACTTGGAAAACTCTCGTTTGATAGTCACCTCTACTATCACGGTTTGCATGTTTATAATTAAACCCAGAATTATTACTATAATTGTTATTAAGTTTTTGACTACCTTGGTCTTGAATTTCTTCCAAAGTGTCTACTTTTGTCTACTTTTAATTGTAAATGGGACTGTTTTCGACTTTTCAACTGCCTCTTGTTACAACTATGGATTCTATTGTACTTACACTATCCGACTAGAAGTGACCCAAATAGATTTAACCTAGCTTTCTGTTGTGTTTGTTGTATTCTATATATAAGCAGGTTTCCTACAGTCTCTGCCGCTTCTCGCATTTTGACCGCCATCGTTTTCTGTCCATCTATTCGTCTTCTTTAATGACTTTATCTGTCATTATGTGCCGTTCATTTTCTTCCAGGCAACTGAAGGCCTTCCCCTTCTTCTTCTTTGTTGTGGTATGTAATTTGAAGCTTTATTTGGGCATCTATCTTCATTCATTTGCTTCAAGTACCCATACCACACTAGTTGTCTCGTTTCAATTCTGTCTACACTGAAATATACAGTATTTGTCCTCCTTCTAATATCTTCATTCCTGATATGATCTTTTTTGGATACACCACACGCCCCTTTAGGAAATCCATTTCTACTATTTCTATTCTTTTTCTACTTCTTTTCGTGATCTGCCAAACTTCTGCCTCATAAGTCATAATAGTCTCTACCAAGGTTCGATAGATTATCAATTTCGTTTCTTGTCTAATATCTTTAGACCATAGTAGAGAGTTTAAAATGTTTACCGCTTTTTTTCCCTGCTGTGTTCTGTTTTCGATGTCTCTTTTGGTAGTGCCTTCTTTAGTTTGTTACGTTCTGTGTTTTAAAAAGGCTTTCTGCTTTTCTTTACATTTTTTCTTTATTTTCTTTCTAAACGTTGGGTTTAAAAAGGAAGAGAAAACTATTTTCACTGTTTTCACTATTATAATTTATCAGCTATGCATCTCATTTATATAGCAAGGCTACATTACCTGTTAACACGCAATAACAACTAAAAACAATTAAGGTATTTCTTTATTTAACTGGTGAAAATATTAACTTCTTCTTCTTTAAGTTCCACTCCTATCGGAGATTGGAAATCATTCTGGCAATTATAATTGTTGCGAAAGTACGCAACATACCTTGTTTTCCTTATCAAAGTGTTATTGGCACGCTGCTGAATAATGTCCGTCATCCAAAAATATTTAAAAAAAATGACATTGTCATCTTGACGTTTTGTATTCGGCGTCAATTTTTATATAGAAATTCGTACCCCTTATATAGAAGTTCAAATCGTTATCGTATATTCAAAGTAATCAAGTTATATATTAGTAGTATAGTTCAAATCAAAGAAGTATAATCGTTGGTAGAAATCTAACATTCGTTGAAGTGTATAAAGACTATAATTTTGTGCAGTAGAATCGGCATCTTGGGATGTAAAAATGGTGTTCATTGTCGTTTTGGAACATAGCAATTATTGTAATACTAAATAAGTTGAGTATCAGTATATAGTGTGTCCTCTTTGTGGGAGCGTTTCTTTACATGTAACAAGTGGATTACCTGATTAACATAAGAACTAGCAAAACATCATCGTCTCCACGTCTAGGCCTTTGTCAAGCAAGGCAGGATACATCGAGGTTCTATTCCAGGGCCACATAGGTAATAATCGGAACACATACATCGGAACTGTAAGTGCATTTTCTCTCTTTCTTTGACATTTTTGTTTACGAGCTCTATTTCGGACACGTTAAACTCAGCAGTTAGCGCATTTATTACTATTATTACTATTACATTACTATTTTATTTTTAGATGTTTTCACTGACACGTTCTTTAGATCGTACTCAATATTGTCTTGGTTTGAGTTCACCATATTAGTAGGAATTGTTTAGTATTGAATTTTCATTCAGTTTGGGAGTGGCTAATCGGCCACCCTACGGACGCACTTGGCGTTACGTATAGATTTTGAGTTGATCTGAATATAACGTTTAAGTTGTTTATTTAATCTTAATTGTTTGTTTTAAATTACCTGTTTTAGAATAGCCAAATTTATTTCTTCTGCATAGCTCATGTAGTGTTTGTTTATTCACTGTATTATAGTTAATTAATTTGATTTTATAATTGAATTTAATTCCCCACCTTTTTCACTTCCACCAAATATAGTTTGAACAGCACATCGTGAGACACAGCTGCTTTCTTCATCTGAAGGTTATCGGATGATTCACATTAGTTTTCCGCAATTTGATAATCATTGCGGACCCTAAAGTTTATGTTGACAGTGGACAAACGTTCCCCCACAATAATTTTATTGGTTACTCGCCTGAATAGTTCAATTGAACTGCATCCAAACCATTCACGGAGATTGCGTAGCCACGAGATTTTACGTCTTCCTACGCTTCTTCTACCTTTGTTCTACCTTTGAGTTCTACCGTTAAAATATTAACAAACATTATTTTTTGTAGGTGGCTACCCAGGTCCTTCATATTCGAATAGTTACGGCCCGCCCAATTACAGCCCTTCAAGTTACAGTCAACAAAATTATAATCCACCGAATTATAATCAACCTAGCTATAATCAACCTAGCTATGGCCAACCTAGCTATGGTCAACCTAGTTATGGTTCTCCAGATTATCACCAGAACACGGGCGTGGGAGGAGGCTATCCCCAACATCAACCCGAGAGTAAGTTTCTGTTGTTATTTATTATATTGTATATTTTTGAACCAAGGCATTGCACATTTTAAAATCAATATTTAAAAAGCTTTAAAATGAGGTGTCACATGATATATATTACTATTTAAAAAAAATCAAAATTATGACTGGCACCTGAAGAAGAATGACGTAAAGTTCGAAACATTGACGCTAGAATTAACTACAATTATATTAAAAATCGACCTGTCTTAGCATTTTGCTTAGGTGCTAAAAATAAAATAAGGTACTATTAAGATATTATTTTGAGAACGATTTCCGAAGTAGAAATTGAAACGTTAGTAGACATATTTTAAACTTCAATTGTAGCTTATTCCCATTAAAATAGTAATTACTTTAAGACGCTCACCAGAAGATAGTTCTAGAACAATATTAAATTTTTGTTTTTATTTTGCAAAATGTGATTTTTTATTATGGATAAATTTAGAATTATCAAGGCTTATCTAGACGAATGTGGTAGCACTGAAAGGAACATTCATGCACTGAAATAAGCCAGTTCAGTTAATTTAGTAAAGAAATCACATGATTTATAAAGACATATAGTTACTTATGCAAATTTAAATAATGATTTGTGATATTCTGTATTATTTATTGAATTTGATGGCTTTAAAACAATAAATTTTGAAACAAGGTATTTTAACAGCACAGTCTGCAATAAATAATAATATGTCAAAATAAAGTAAGATATATTCTTGGTTTTACAACTTTGTTTGTCTAATTTTTTGTGGTAAAATTTAAATTAGTTTATACGAACTATCTTTATTATTGTAGATCATGGATCTTATGAGCCACATTACCAAGAACCAGAATATCACAATTCCCCAGCTCCAAAGTATCACGTCTACAACTACTACTCGAAAGACAAAGATCTGTCTGATCTCTTCGAAATTGCCTTGACAGGTTTAGCCTTTCTTGCTTTTAAAATGTTTATTGTACACGTTATAATGTGCATAGCGACGACAACGGTAAGTCATAATTATCGTTTTCATACTTTGTAAAATATTTCAAGTTATATTTTTAGACAACAAACACCACTACGACAACGGTAGCCATGGCGATGAGTATGAGTCCTACAGCAACTGGAACAGGTAACGGTATGGCAGATATTCCTGGCACAGGCGGTACTAGCACGGGAGGGGGAATGACAAGCACAGGAGGTGGTATGCCATCTACCGGAGCTGATATGCCAGGTACGGGAGGCGGAATGACAAGTACAGGAGGAGGTATGACGAGCACGGGAGGTGGAATGACCGGTGATGGAGGTGATACGCCAGGTACAGGTGGGGGTATGACAAGTGATGGTGGCGATATGCCTGGTACAGGGTCGGGCATGACCAGCGATGGGAGTGATATGCCTGGCACAGGAGGAGGTATGACAAGTGATGGTAGCGATATGCCTGGAACGGGAGGTGGTATGACAGGTGGGGATATGCCTGGCACAGGCGACGGTATGACAGACGATGGTATGACTGATATGGGAATGACAGGTGGTGGCACTGGTACTGGTGATGGTGGTGACGGTTCGACAGATATGGGTGGCACTGGAAGTGGTGCAACAGGAACTGGAAACGGTATGGATGGTGGTACAGGAGGAGATTCCACAGGTACTGGTGGCACTGACGGAGGAACAGGTATGGGTACTACAGGTAGCGATTCCACAGGTACTGGAGGAAGTTCTGCTATGGGCACAGGTATGGATAATACTGCTGCAGATGGAAGTGCAACTGGTGATGGGAGTGATACGTTGCAGTTCAGGTATAAGAGGAATCCAATGCCTCACTTTCCTAATCCAAATAATGAAATCGTAAATGAGTTGTCGAGAAAAATTTTACTTACTATTGAAAGCGCTTTAGTTGCACATAAAGACGATGGGGTTTGTTTAAGAAAAATACTATGCGAAAATAATAAATGGTCAAGGGATTTAGAAGGAAGGCACAAACTATTTATTCCTCTTTGGAGGTAAGATATACGTATATTTTTTAATATTTGTTCATCTTCTTATTTTGTGGTTCTAAATCTTTGTGTGTAGATTCATATAACTGCTTTTTTATTCCAGTCGTCAGAGATGAAAATGCTAATAAACTAAACCTCTAAAAATTATACGGACAAGCTAAATTTTGCTAACCATATTAATTTTCCCAAGTTTTCTAAAGGACCCAAACAGGGTTTCTCAAAAGAGAAAAAGTTTTTGCATCTTTTTTAGGGTCCCAAAATAATATTCCCTGCAAAATTCAGGTTGTTCGTAAGGTTTTTAGGGTCAACTCTCTGAAAACTGGACTATTTTATTTTGTTTTTGTAGTTTGGGAATGAGCTGGCTTTCTGGAAAAATTGTACATAATGTAGCACCTGCCACATCCATGCTTGACACTCTGAAAGCATCAATTTTGGGCCTTGGAAAAGCCAACTGCGAAATTATTTATCAAAAATGCGATCTTCGAAACCATGTAATGGAGAGAAAGAAACGAAAAAGACGAAAAAGAGAAGCTCTGTAATTATTATTTGATGTGTGTAATAATATTAATAGATCCAGAAATATATATAAGTTAAAATAAAATAAACAAAATAAATATTTAGTAGTTTTACTTATTACTTTGTTTTTACCTTTTGTTTAATTGGGTAATATTGTGTTAATAAAACTTAAGGAAAAAAGTATAGTGCTACTTCTCTGTAAGTACTTTTAAACTATTTTTTTTAGTTTCTTTTAGCTGACTTTCAGTGATTTTTGTTTTGCAGTTTGCTCGGCAGAGTGGTAGAGGTTGAAATGGTCTTTCTAAAATTATTTTACCATTTTTTGTAACCTATGACTTAACTAAATTATGATTTTTTTTGTAATTCTCTAGCTTCTCTTGTGTCCGGTGGTTTTTTTAGCTGTTGATTTTTTACGCTCTAAACTGCTTTTTCTTGTAGTATTATTATTTGTCATCAAAACATAATTGTTTTTAGGAATGTAATGTGGATCTGCTAATAATTCATCATCGGAACTATATTATTTTGTGTACCAGTACTATTACTACAGCAGGGATTATTATAGCCAGGCTCTGGTACAAAGTGATTCTTATATGAGTCTTGGGTAGATTCTACACTTATTTTCGAAATTCTTGAAAATTTGACTTAAAAATTTGACTTGTGTGTTTACTTACCTCGGTCACTGATTTACCTATCCTGTCCACTGAGTTAGTAAAGAAATCTGTATTTAATTCGGCAAAACAATTATATCACCATCTCCCTTTGTAACTTAAATCTATCTCTGTAACTTTCCCTAAGTTCCGTAAATTAACAAAAGAATATTTATCTGATTTGACAAAGTAAGACATAAAAAATTAGTCCAAATTCCAAAGACAAAAAATATAGACCATAGGGACTTACGAATAATAACAAACCTCTACTGAAATCAAAGAGCACAAATCGTATTAGATAACAAACCCAGTCTAGAAGTTGAAATCAGTAAAGGAGTTAGGCAGGGATGTATTATGTCCCCATTACTAATTAATGTATTTAGTGAGGCCATTTTTTAAGAAGCATTACTATCTCATAATGAATGAATATAAAAAAGACCAAATACATAATAATAACAAAAACAACAAATAAACCAACAAATATATATTTGTGAAATGTACCGATAGAAAAGGTTGATAAATACAAATACCTAGGAACCTGGATTTCAGACAATAATGCAATAAAGATGCAAAATAATAAACACAATAAAAATAAGAAAGTTACAATATCTGGAACACGTAATGAGGGGACAGCGATATGAACTGATAAGGCTGATAATACAGAGAAAGATAAGAGGAGCAAGGAGTATAGGAAGAAGGAGAGTGTCATAGTTGAACAATTTAAAGGACTGGTTTAAATGCAGTTCTATAGACCTCTTTAGAGCAGCGGTAGATAAAGTAAAGATAGTTATGATGATATCCAACTTCCGCTTTTGAGACGGCACTTAAAGAAGAAGATATTTATCTAAAAGACCATATTATTGAGTGGAAGAGTTTCTTAACGAATAACTAAGATATTACAGTACGTTTTTGTACGATTGTGTATCGCATTCAGCAACTTAAGCTTATTACTGCGTAAGATTTTATTTGCAATTTAGTTAAATTTTGCAATGGATTGTATATTTATTTATGTTTTATTTATGTAATTTTAATCAATTTTAATTGTTATCGCTATTTTTTGTTTTACTTTTTGTAAGTATTGTGTATGAAATTGTACAATTTTCAGTGACAATACAGCATATTTCTATTCTATTATAATATCTTTCACATATAACTGAATGAGTAACAGAAACAGCGTTTTTTATTATTAATTTTACAGTGGGTTGTAGATTTATCTATTTACTATAGAAATCCATTTTATCACACGAAATAGTTTCAATGTTGAACTATCCACAAATCATTTTATATTTCCATGTAAACGCATTATGAAAGTGGCCTGTCAGACGTAGCGCATTGCGTAGATCTGTACCTACGTTCATGGCTCATAAACTTCACTGTTCAAGTAGGGATAGTATTTAGAAAGGGCTCTCTCTCCCTCTTAACTGCGTACAGCCACACGTGCGAAGGAGGTCGTCATTAGCAAACTCTCCAGGTAATCAGTTCCGAATAATTTACCTTCGTCTTCGAGCACAACGATAAAGCCTTCAAGGACGAAGGACCCAGCTTTAGAATAAGACATTTTCAACAAAAGGTGACTTTAAGTAAAAGTATTTATAATGGCAAATAGTTCTATAGGAAGTAGCCAAATAGTAAAACATCTTCGACGTATTTTGGGTGCATCGTACATTTTTTAAAGTCAAATAAACAAAATTGTAACTTATTCATAATAAAAAAATTAAGTTGTTGTAAAGAAAGACTTAAATCAGTGATTCTCATCAACCTATGGGGCGCCCTCCACCAGAGTGGCGTGCGTTTACTAGTTAGGTAGAGTGAGAATATAACAAATAAACACCAACAACATTGAATAAATAATTGAATAATAATAATTTTTTATCGCCAATCGTGTGCCGTTGCAAAGACGCCGTTGATTGATATTTCTCAGCATTCTAACTGTTGATCCATCCTTTAATTGAAGATTGTTTGGAGGCAATCCTGGTAAATCCAGCTAGTTTAAAAATTCAGGCGGATAGTTGACTACATAATCTTTTATTTATATATCCTTAATTCTCTTGTAATTTGTTCTTGAATTTTGATATTTAATTTATTTACATCTATGTTTTTTGCAGCCAATATAACCCGTTCGCTCAACCAATTATGGTTTATGTAATTTTGAGCAACATATGGAAACACCTTCTGAAAACAAACATCGGTTTGTTTGACAGATGTAACGACGTGAAAACTAATGCAATTTATGTCTCGTTCCGAAACTAAGACAAAAGAAAGGGCCAATTAAATCTAGAGCTCTTACATTTTTTAACTTATCAATTTGGTCGGGTTCACAATATTATCACTTTTGTGTGAACGCATTAGATCCTCCAACGCGAACACGCACACACGAACGTGCACACACACGAATGCGCACACACATACATTTGATTGAATTTGAACTTTGAGCAGCGACAATAAAGCGCAAATTGAAACTTCGACGTTAGGAAGACACCTACATTGTTTAGACAATAGTGAGTGCGTGTAATTTAATATAAACTTTATTAAATAGCAATAAAGTTCAAATTGACATTTAGTTAGAAAATATTTGTATGGGAAAAAGAAAAGGGCAGTTTTAGGGTTTTCCCGGAAATTATTCAAATTTTTCATGCTGTAAAAACTATTCTTAGACTTCAAGGAACATTGTAAAGAAAGACTTGTTAAGATTGGTCCATGCGTGTTGAGTATGCGGTTACCAACACATTTTGTGATTCAATTCTCTTTAGTAGTCTTATCGTTACAAAGCAAAACATTTTATTAGACCAAAGTATTGAAATTATCAATTCATTAAATGAAAAAATTAAACACCTTGGGGAAACCACCAAAGTGTATCAAAAATTCTGTAAAATGTTAAAGAAAAATGAGGGATATCAAAAAAATAATTCAAATAAATAACATTATTTTCCTATAAAAGCAAACTTATACGCTGATGATTTAGTTGTCTGTATTAAATGCAAAATATTACATCTGGGGCTAAAATACTGCAGAACCTTCTATACAAAATCGAAGAATGGTCTTCCAAAACAGGCTTCTTCTTTTTAACTAATAAGACACATTACACAGTATTTAGCAAACGCAAGAATACAATTCCTGTTTAGTTATTATTAACCGGTCAAAATATATCTCATTCAGAGGAATCGAATTTTTTGGGCCTAAATTTTGATTACAAATTAAACTGGAAAACACACATTACGACTTTACAACTAACTTGTCAAAATAGAATAAACTTGGTTAAAATTCTATCCAATAATATATGGAGAGCTGATTCTAGTATTCTGCTTAACCTCTACAAATCAATTATTTGCAGTAAACTAGACTACGGTGCAATATGCTACAATACAGCAAATAAAACGTTCCTAAAAAACCTTAACACAATTCAAACAACAGCTCTAAGATTAGCAGTCGGTGCCTTCAAAACCAGTCCTGTAAGCAGCTTACAAGTAATATCAAGAGAACCCCCTCTACATCTAAGATGACATCTACTTAGTTTAAATTATGCAGCAAGAATATCTTCCAATAAAAAGCACTTATTATATTCTGAGATTATTACCGCACCTACATCCAATTTGTATAGAAACAAACAATATAAAGACAAACCCTTTAGGGAAAGAATCAATCAAAAAGGATTCAATTGCAATTAATTCAAATTATCCATAACCACAAAATTAGACTTCCCTCCATGGCTTACCCCCTTACCTATCACCGATTTAACTTTAACACAGTACCCAAAAAATACCACAAATCCTAACCTTATCAGAATTCAAAGAAATTATGGAGAAGTATCCAAATCACCACACAATATACACAGATGCATCAAAAACTG